CCTCCGAATAAAGCACTCGTCCTCATTTAACTCATCATTATCACCACCATTATAATCATCTTCATCCACTTGAGCAGTTGCTGGGCTCTTCACAGGGGTGGCATTAGACTCAACGAATTGAGGATTTTGATCACACCTCGCTGCATTTTTCTGAAAAATAATACCGTCTTGATCACGCCCAGATTCTTGATCAGCAACAATCATACAATTGAAGAAGTCATCCTGGAAGCAATCAATCAGGGGAACGAAGGGGTCAATTGCTTCTTGGACTTCATGTATTTGCTCTTCTTGTTCTTTTTCTTCACGTTCAAATGGAACCATCTCAACATGCAAGGCTGTAAAGTTTTGCTCTAATTCCAAAAGAAATACATGTAGTGTCTCACTTGAATCGATGGAAAAGGGTGGAATATTTTTTTCAAGCCGTTGAATTTGAAATGCAATTTTTGGCCTTTGATTATTCATATCACAACCAAGCTTTTGAATAATGGCTTTCAAAAAGGCATCAAAGTCCAAATTAGCAACATCCCAAAACAACGAAGTTATATTCTTGCCCGTTCCACTGTAAACATACTTCCCTTCGTGATCTGTGGTCCACTTTCCACCATAAACAACATATAATATAACAGAATCTGTACCCATCTGCAATCGAAAAAACATAAACAACAAAAAATATCACATTTAAGTGTAGTCGAAATTCATCGAAAGAACGTCGAATAGTCGAGACCAATCGAAATAACGTCGAAAATTCGTAAATGTTCGTATGGTTTCGCAGACTATGTTCGAATAGGGTTTATTTCGGAGTAGGGTTTATTTCTATCTTAGAAATGTAGGGTTTACCATAAGATATGTAGAATCATAACACAATTGGCACAATTAGAATCATAACTCTTTATTCTAAAGAAAAATTAGGGTTTGTAATCAAATTTTGGGTATCGAAAATTAGGGTTTACCGTAATATCTTTCTGCTCTTTTTCCTTCTTCTGCGCTACGCAATAGCGAAGAAAAAAGGATGTTTAGGAGAGCTAAACAAAAAAAATCATAACTCTTTAGTGTAAAGAAAAATTAGGGTTTGTAATCAAATTTTGGGGTATCGAAAATTAGGGTTTACCGTAATCTCTTTCTGCTCTATTTCCTCCTTCAGCGCTACGCAATAGCTTCTAAACGCGTTCCCAAATCTTATCGTTTTGCTCTGCTTTCAAATTAGGTTGCCGATTTGCAGAACAAATGTGTAGTGTGCGTACGATTGAGGAGCTGAAAGGCATGAAATCGTTAATTTCGGGTCGGGTCAAAAAAGGGGGGAAACTGAAATAGTTAATTTCGGGGCGGGTCAAAAAAGGGGGGAAATCGTTAAACGGCTGTGGAACGTAATTAGATTCTTTCGACCATGGCTTCCGAAGAATATGGGTAATTTGGGAATCTCACATGCTAATTTTTCGTGCTTTTCAGTGAGGGTAGATAGAGGGTAGTCTCATAATATCAAACCTTTTTTGGACATTTTTATAAGAGAAACTTTTTTTTAGGGCACTCTTATAAAGCGCCCATCCCCCACCTCGCCACTCTCTGCAGCAAGTTAGTCCATCTCTCTAAAAACCCTAAAACACCCCCAATTTCTCTAACTTCCTTTAAACCAATGGAAGTTATGTTGCAGGTTAAATAGAGTAGTTTGGTATGGGTACCGGATAAACCCCATTTTGAAATGAAATGTTACAAAATCACACTCATATTCATACCGTGCAAAAAAAACATGGGTGGCTCGGACTAGGGAGGATGTGTAAAGTGACTAACCGGCACTTTGAAATTTAAGGCATTATATTTTTAAATTTGTTAATAATTTTAAAGAAAAAGTATTCTAAAAATATAAAATATGGCACAAAATGTAAATTATAAACGATAACGAGTCTAAATTTTATAATTCAAAATTATAAATTATAAATCAAAAATTAATAATTACTCCGTAAAATTTTAAAAATTGAAATTTAAAAATTAAAACTTTAAAATTAAAAATTAAAAATTCCAGAAGCACATCATACCAACAAAAGTTACGAAACCAACTAAACTCATACCAACGTAGGCCTGGACACGGTACCGGTTCGGTACCGTCACCGGCACCGTACCGCCGGTACCGACACCGGAGACTGCCAACCGGTTCCTAGAACCGGTACCGGTACCGCCCCAACCGGTACCGTCTCCGGTTCCCAATTTTCGTCACCGGAACCGCCGGTACCGGTACCGGTACCGGTGCCGGTTTGTATTATTTTTTTTTTTGCTCCTGCAAACGGTAACCTGCAAAAAAAAAAAGAAAAGTCAGT